TATGTTACTTCTGTAAACTAAACAAAAGCACCTTAACCACCGATTTCTTTCTAGGAATCATCCCCGTCTCCACGTCCCACTACTACTGAACAGCTGGATGGTTACGACGTTCTCAGTACTAGAATCGGGGGCAGCAATCGTCTTTGTGGGGATTCCCCCGCTCGCGGAAGACGTCGTATTTGGTCCGAAAAAGTTCTTGATACGTTAATTTCGCTGTTTCAAAAAAACGCCCATATGTGAGGGGGTCGTAATTACTGCCTTCTGAGAGAATCGGAGGCGTTGGGAAAAATTCTCCCTGTTGTTGACTTTTTGTGGTTTTTCCTGTTTCACATACCCTATATATTCCCCCTTCTCTCTCCTTCCCAGTTTCACGGGCTGCTATTATTGGATTGAGCGAAGTAGGAGACAGGGCAGGAGCATGTGGTTGGGGATTCCGCTACTGGGGGGGGGGGGTCGTAAAAGGCTCGACCAAATCTCTCGGCATCGACTGCTGTGCCTGCTAGGAAGGATCGTATCAAGCCACGTTTTTGCTGGGGGAGGGGGTCGTACTTCCTTTTTCCAAGCGGCAAGACGTGCCCTGATCAGAGTACGGGGTGCTACCGGGAAGTAGAAAAGAAATTAACGGATTGCCTGCTACCGTATCCCTTGCTTTGACTACCGGAGCAACTATCCTTTCAATTGCTAGCTTACATCGCATTCACTGCCATTGGGATAACACTTACCCCCTTGGCGTTTCGCGCACACCTCAAGCCGGTGGTTTTAGGCATGGGGGAGGGAAGGTGGTGCGGCGCTCCTCACCACATCCTGCGGTACCAGCAGTTCACGGCCCACGAACGCAGAATCTCTGCCTGAAGGAGCTTGCTGTAAACGTGTTAGCGGTCACTTTCGCAAAGTGGCGAACGAAATAGGCGTTGAGAGCTGAGTGACGTACCTTGCATTGCACGGGCAGGACGCCGACCTACGAAGTAGATGCTGCGGAGGGCGTCGACTCTGGACTCTCTGGGTTCTGAAATTTGAGCTAGCTTGCTCTGCTGCTCTGTGCTGTGGCTGTCTAACGCAAACGTAGCTGGGAAAATACTTCTATCAGCGGCGTGCTATGCCGAAAAGAAAAGGCAACGCTGACCACCAGTTCAGAACATTTTGCGCGGTGGAGAGAATTTTTTAGGAATGATCCAGCTACGAATTTCGCTCTCCTGTTAGCGACTCCTGTCGCTCAGCCTCTGCGGTCCATCTTGCCAAGTTTTCGGGAAATTTTCCTAAAACTTTTCAAGTTTTTCCTCAGAAAACTGCCTGTCTAGTGGGAAGGCGACGCGAATCAACTAACGCAAAAAAATTTTTTCGTGGCCTCGAAATAATTTCTCCCGAAGACGATATGCGAGCCCCTTTCCGCGGCTCGGCCCACCCCTAAACAGGAACTCTCCAGCGAAGTACAGTCCTCATGCATTGGTCGGACCGGTGGGGGCGTCTCCGTAGTGGGGAGTGCGCACCGCTGTTTGAAAGCGCGTTCTCAGCCTTATTGTTTGGAACGAGTAGATAGTGCGCAGTGAAACTTGACGAACCAAAGTTCAGTTTTTTTTGATAAATTTTTAAGAATCTTTTGCAGGTCCTTCTCCGCGCTAGGGATTTCCGACGTAACGACGTGCCTTAGCGCGCAGAGTATAAGCAGTCCGACACAGTCTGCTCGTGCGCTGCGCCGTTTAGTAGTGACTATGTCTGCTCTGCGTGACTATCCCTTGACGACTCCGGTCGTCTGTGCTCTGCGGCTGAGTCTTGGTGAGGGGAAGGAACATGGAACACAACTGGACGGTCCCCTAGCCATATGAACGCTATGCGTAAAACATAGCTATGGACCTGTTTTAATCTCAAAATAATTTTTCAGAAACCATTACAATAACGACGCTTACGATGGCGATAATGAAAAAGAAGCCGACCTTGGAATACCGAGATCAGACATGTACTAGATGACGTAATGGTTTTGTAAATAAATAATAGAGATAAATATATGAGACGTTACTGTGACAGGACAACCGAGCCACGACACATCCTGGCTCTCGCTATACCCTAGTTCGCTGCAGACGAAGGGGCGTGTCAGGCAGTATGAGTGCGCCCGGCGCCGAACCCGTTCTCTGCCAATTGCTGGGGCGGTATGCCACGAAAAATGGTAGAAAACGAGTGATACGGACAATATAAAAGTCTTATCATTTGCTCGCTTCAACAACTGGTTGAAAACGGGTTTGGCACCGCGCCAAGTTCATCCCGCCTGACACGCCCCTTCGTCCACAGCGAATGAGAGTATACTTTGCACAAAAACAGCACGCTTTCAACTGGTCACCAGTCCCATACGGAACAGGAAGCATCGACACATGGAAAACATTTAGAGGCAAAACATGCGGCCTACATAATCCCTGTTCAAACTGAACCACATCCCAGGCGTAGAACACAACGCTAGTCCGGTTAGAGGGGCCTCATTGCGTTGAGGCTACACCCGTTTACTGCTCGACCACTGCCTCCGGTGGTAGTACTCGCCCAGTGATCCTTCCCAACAGCATCAGGCTTAGGCTGCGTTCATAATTTATGACGGTAGAAGGGAGAGTAGGCCGGTCGACGTAACGCATACACAAAGTAGAGTCATTCTGGCGTTCTGGAAGGATGGAAGAACGGGAGAGTCGGCGTATTGACGCTCTGGGAGAACGTGCACCCAGGAATGGATGGGTAACGTCGACGCTGGGTCGCTACCATTTAGGAGAATAGGACAATTGAAGGATCAGGAAATAGGAGTCGATCTGCCCGCATCTACCACTTTGACGCGCAATCTTCCAAGTCGCACATTCTCGGAATTCTTTTTTTTTTTTTCTATTCCAAGTCGCAAATTCTACGGTATTCTCCGTCGGGTTCTTCCCATTCGCTAGATATGGCATCTCTCTCGGCCACACTCTCCCATCTCCCTCTCTTCAGAGTCCCAAAGTATAACGCGACTACAGAGGGCGCAGTTGAACAAGCAACGGCACCTTAACGCGAACCAGAACGTGGCCTACTATTCCTGATCACAGCCTCCTTGCAACCATTGACACTAGCTCCGAGAACTTCTTACTGGAATATCACACACCACATTTGTGTGTAATAGTCAACTCCTGCGCGGACCAGGCAATACAAACCCGAAACGGTCATTGGCTGGTTCTGAAGGTACTGGCTCTATAAATAAACAACTTTTATTGGAAATGATAACAACGATACTATTTACACGAAGACATCAAATCTCATCAACAAGCACTTTCAGAAGGGAGCTGAATCGACAACAAAAAAGAACCCTAGGGAGATGCGTCAATATGCAGCAAAAAAAAAACAACAGAAGAAAATCATGAATTATGCCATCATAGCAATAATGAAACCAGAACTAACGTCCAACAAACTCTACGCATCTTTCTTTTCTTCAGCATCATCCCTGAGAATGATTTCACGAAACTTTACAGTGTGTTCTGGATACATGCGATAAATTAGAACCGTTACAATTTTCACATTATTTGCGGTCGGATAGCTGGACAGGTAATACGTCGTAACATCCATTCGATGCTTTGACAACAAATGTAAATAGTACCTAAAAAGAGATTTTGCTTTACATTTATGAATATACCAGGGTAAAGAAATGTGATCAACTATCCTGAAAAACTCCACGGACACAAAGGGCATAGTCTTCGCCGTTGATCAATCCCTTTGTGGGATGCGGCACGCATTCTACTTCCATTCAGAATCGTAGTGGCTTTGAATGCGATGTGGCCTATACAATGACTTGCGAGCGCGAAAATCAGTGTATTCTCTCAAAGAGATCTGGCCCCAAATCACCAAACTTGAAGTGTAGAAGGTTTGGTTGCCTTGGATGGCAGCGAATTTGGAATTCGACCCTGCCCACGCGCGTGGTAAGCGTTTCAACTGTCACCACGCCACCTCTGCTGCTAGCAGACACCATTGAGTACCATAACGAAACGCTTTTCCTACCGTCAAAGGGTGCGACGGCCAGCAGGCCTTTTACGATGTCTCACTCATTTAGGTGTGAGGCGTATGTAGTAAATGATTACGCTGCCGCTCACATCAGAAGGCTATCTCACCTTTCCTGTGTCCCCTACACCCTAATGAACTTAATTTGCTCGGATTAACGGCAGCGCGCGGGGTGTTGTGCGCTATTCGCCACTAAATAGGCACTGCAGGGTATGGTGGATGCTCGCTGTAGGACCATTCACTTGTACGATCGCACTACTGCGGCTCGTCGACTCACTTCTCTGTTTTTGGCTGCTTTCTTAACGACAACTAGCATAACTTTGCATTGGCTTGCCTCCACCTCGCCGAATGTAAGGTGCTCAAGCATCTGCCGCATTGCTGACTATGCCCCAAACTGGTGCGGCCGACGTAGGCCGTGTGGCCTCTAAACTCCTACAAAACCCACGTCACTGTAATTACTCGAGATGATACGAGGATGAAGCTAGAGGTGTAGCGCACCCATTGCTACTTCCGAGAATTGCTATCATTGGCGACATCGGCGTTGGTGCCTGCACAGCGACACCTACGGGGTCGGGCGCTCAAACTTCAACTTTTTCAGCCCAGAAGCGAGTAAAAAGTTTGGTTGAGTGCTGGCGCGAAACTCACGAAGCGATTAGGATCTGGACAAGGTGAGCGCTCTTTCTTACTTACCTGCTGTCGTGGTTTGTTCACGACTACTGTACAACTGGGCTAAACAATCGCAACTTTTTTTCGTAAAAATATTGTTACTGCGACAAATATTGTGGTAGTTTGAGAAAATATCATCACGGGGGGGACACCGAAACTAAGCAAATTTTGAACGCGTAAGAGTAACGGAGATGAACTGTTAGAGCACAGGATTGTCTGTTCTAAACTATCTCAATACTTACTGCGTTGGAAAATCGAAATTCACATCACAAACGTTGCACTTTTCTCCTGTGAGTTGCGTCTCTGTGGCAATGAACTTGTCATCCTCATAAAAATGCAATTCACATCACCAAATATTCTGCTGGACCACCATGATCGACGACTGAAACACGTCTAATATTGATCATAAAATAAAATAGTGCAAATAGGTAAGTGACAAGGTTTCAACTAGTATATCACTCACTATGTTCTATGGCATCTACGGGATGCTCGAACGTCTCAACCGTAACGCAATAGGGGCATTTTTCATTTATCAGTGGACCGATAGAGAATCCAGAAGCGGTTTCTCTCGGTAGCACTGGTCTTGGTGGTGGAGGAGGTCGAGGTGGTGACGATGAGCATGGCTCATCTACTGCACTCGGCGATACAAGGGGAGTTGAATCGGCACCTAGAAAATCAGTTTCATTGAGTAAATGAGGAACAAATGAAGCAAAAGGAGTGTTTTAAAGGGAAAGTACCGAAACCTTTATCCCTGGTTGGCGGTTTTCGTTTCGCTATAGGAATCGCTTGATCCCTCATAGCTGCCATTGCTGTATGCTCATCCTACAAGAGAAACTCTACAAAGCTTACACAAAAACTGATTAGATAAGAGTGAGAGTAAAGAGGAGTAATTGAATGTTGGTAGGAAATTTGTGAAGACCTTCAAAATCGAAAATCAAAGTGAAAAGTGAAACTGTACTAAAATAGAAATCCTTCACATACCAATTTCCTTTTCCTCGCCTCCCTTCGTTTTCGTGCAGCCTCGATTTTCCGCTGACGCTCTCTTTCAGCAAGTAGCTCCTCCTCTCGCTCTTTCTCACGCAAGTACTGTTTACGCTCTTCACGATGTGTCTTCTCCAGCTTATCCACTGTTCGCGAACGGCCTTTGGCTCGATATCTCATCTCCCTCTCTAGTTCCTCCGATTGACGGAGAGATGAAGATCCTGGAATCAAGACAGCTGAGCACTCTTCCAGCAGCGCAGCAGCGTAAATCCGATTTCCCACAAGTAACGTTCTCTTGATAGGACTCTAGGTCAAATCTCGTTAACAATGGTGAACGAAACGAAAATGCTGAAAATCTCCGCCTAAACCCAACCCTCAGAGCGCTTTGATACTCTGCGGCAGCGTTACGAGAGTTTTGGGCGCTTTCAGTCACTGGAAAAATATAGGTGTCGATCCAACGTTTTGAGGGTCTGTCGTCAGCGCCTCGAGGGTCCGTCGGCGTTTTCGGCGGTAATCGATATCTACACATTCTTGTTCACTCAAAACGCTCATCGAAGCACTAAGAAGTATGAACGCTTTTCACCCTTCTTACCCTTCTTAGTGAGCTAAAGCTAAAGGGAAAGCTAAAGCTGATTAACTATTGCTTATAACAATAGTAATTCTGACGACTGAGTACAAAATGTAAACTCTCACCTTTATACTTGGGATAGTCATCCGAAAATGCATGTCCTATTC